TAACTAATAAACAGGTTCCAGACGTTATGATTAATAACCTCTTTGAAGTCAACAATCTGTGCACATTACACGCTGAGGAGTTAAACGCGCGATAACATAAAACAGATGGAGTGAAGTGATGGTAATGTAAGCGTGCACAGAGGCGGCCAGGCAAGCCGGGCTTCTCACGTCGAAATTCATGGAAATATTTGTATGTGGCAAACAGGCGGGACACACATAAATCTCGTGAGGCGATTGAATGCAGACGCGTAAGCGTGCCCGTGCGCATAATTCAAAGGGGCGATCACCAGGAATCGTCGCTTGGCATGCAGACGGCCGCGTTCATTCCAAAGCAATAAACCCGTTAGTGGCGACGTAATGTGCATATTGGAGAACAATAAACGACAAACGTGGACCGAACCTACGGCTGTCCGTCGATAAATTCATCAATCGTCATATTTCCCAAAAGTTACACCGTGCGTCGCGTCGACAATGTATCGTCCTCTCAACTTTGTCGCGTACAGACGCTATAAATTTAATTCGATGTTTAATTTACTACTGTCTGGCGCATCTGAATTTGTATTCCTAACCATTCATTGTATGAGATATATTATACCTTTGCCATGAAATACATTTTATGCGTATTACCCCGTCATCTTTCTATACAATCAAGCTATTAGTGATTAATAAAAAAATACTTTGGAAAAGTATCGATATCGATAAAGTCGGCGTCACCAGCCCGCAGGTGTTCAGTTGTCTGATATGTGGTTCCTCTGGAATCATCGTCGGCGCCGGCAGATCGCCGCGACCAGACGACCGAACTCTTTAATATTTATTTACACATGCAAATATGCACCCAGCAGCCGGCCAAAACATTGCGTCCGCTTAATAATTTGGGAGTTTTCCTCACAATACGCTGAATCCATTGACATTTTGTCCGTAATTATCTAAGGTGACGCATTCGTTTTTATTGTATTACCTTACGTATGTTTATTGTATCATCTCCCAAGATTATTTCGAGAAATCGAAAATTAAGTAAAATGTACATTATTTTACTCCTTACAATATGCGACTTGTATTCGTCTACGAAATCTTGTACATTCTAATTCGTTCCGTTTATTCCGCTGTCTGACTCATACTACCATTCCATGCTCGATTTAGGTTACATTTAATTAACCTGAACCAGTGTATTTTATTTAAATAAGTTAACTTTATAGTAAATACGTACTTCAGTAGAGTATTTGTTACACTTTTATAAAAAGTATTGGCAATAAATAATCTAGTATTCAAAGTCAAAATGCTCATGTCTAATAAGTGCTAATTTTACATTTTCTTAATAAAGTCGTTACGCATTGCTACTTATTTCCATTGACGAGGGTCATACAATCAACCAGACGTCGCGTCGATGTTAATGAAGTAAAAACAAGTAGTTAACATACATGCATAATATGATATCGGCGGTATATGGCGGGCGGTACGGCTAGCCGCTAGGCAGCCCGCAGCCGCTATCCGGCCGCGGTCTAGCCGACCGGCGGATGTTTCCCAGACAGAGAAATATTATGTTATTCACTTAAGTGGATATTAAATACATAGAAGTAGGCGCTAACTGCCGCTAATTTCACTTAAACGTTGGTGCTACGTGTACGCGCCATAACTAGTCACTTTTATGGGCAAATTATTCTAAGTCGTCGCGACGTCAAAATTGGGGCGAAAATAGTTTCATTTCATTTTACTTATTTAGTTAACACTGACGTTTTGTGATTCGTAAAACATCGAGATCTTACGGTTTATGGCCTATTAAAATATACGACCGAGTTTTTGGGACTTTGATGTGGTGCTTAGGAATTTATTTTTGGCCTGCAAATGGTTTTGTATCGACAACCAATACCAATGTAATTTTACAGGTATCTTTAAAATACCTGTATTTCCCAAACAGTTTGTATAAAGGTATATGATGTTCTGTGCCAAAAAAAGGATTACAATTTTATTTCGTACCAAAATATTATTTTGTTGATACAACGCCACTCTATATGATTCTCTGAATTGTAGAACTTTCTTGTGCGTTGAACGTTGATATAATAATTTTGCAAAGCACATGGCAACAGCCGCGCTCTTTAAACCTACATAAAAATTCTTGTACAAGAAATGCATGTTCATTTGTCTGTTTCACTCGTTATATTATTTTGTGAGATGACAGAGTGTTGGAGACATCACTGTCAATGTAACAAGTGCGCTGCTTCCTGTGTGCTCCGCATCAATGCAACTATGTGTCTCACTAGCCAAACTACGCAACTTTTTGTCACATTCTTTTACATTTTCTTATAAAAAACTTTTCATTTATAACTCGTTGGGAATTCTCTCCAACGGGCACTATTCCAAAACTGCAAAATTGTTATGTGGATATGCATTTACGATTAAATTTTATGTGGGTGCGTGGGACCCATATAATTTACTTATTGTAGTGTCGACTTTGTATGAGAGTTTGTACAATTAATGTGTCGTAATATCACGCTTTATATTGCCTGAAGGGGATTGGTCAAGCGTTTACATACTTGGTCCATGAGTCCCATTAATAATGCCTAAGAGGTGGATTATTACATCGAAAATAATGAATCATATTATAACATAATTGTTGAACAGTTTTTTTTAAGGGGGGAAAATCATCGAATGACTACTCCCGCCTGCGTGAGGCGGGAGGGAGTGTTAGACTCTTGTTGACTAAAAACACCCCGTTCCTTTTCCTGCACGTCGAGCAGGAGTCCCGGTAACCCGTTGGATTCTCCGCGACTTCGAATTTGGTGTACAGTAGGTATTACGTTGTATAACAATATGTGCACACATAATTATTATCAATAATCAACTTCTTTGCCGATCCCTTCGGGGATTACAAGGTGTGATTTTTTTAGATATAAGTTACGACGGTTACACATTGGTGTAACAATTCAGTAAGTACCCAACTGTGTACAATGTGATGTGATGGAGGATGTCCATCACTGGTTGGTGGAATGCGTCAAGACCCGAGCTGCTAGAGAGGTGCTGATGAATACCTTTAAAATTAATTTGATAGATGTTGGTTTTGTTCAAAGTATATTATCAGAGCCTGTCTCGAATGCAGCTACTTTACTTTACAAAAAAGTATATAAGGTCTTTAAGTCGGAGTAGCGTTTAATTCCTGTATTAGTTTATGATGGGACTGACGTGGTCGTATTGTGACCAGTAAGTAGATTCTACAGTAAGCAGATGTAAGCGACACGAAATGTAGACTTTATTTATAAAACAGGTAAGATCAACAAGAACATTCATTTAATTTAATTTTGATCAAGGTAAAGTAATTTAAACTTCTATGATTTAAGTATTTTCATTTCCGATGTACATGTACATTTTTAATTTAATACCCATTTTTCATCAGCTACCCTGCATTTAATAGAGGGAGAGTCTAACACGACTAATTGTATAATAATATAATATTTTACTCGACTGGGAAATAGAATCAAGCGTCGAATGACACGAAACATGAATAACAAGCTCCTTAAGAAAATCAAGGGAATTGTAACGCACAGTTAAACACTATCAGTAGTATGTACGTAACTAGATCCATTTTACAATACCGATAAGGGAGCTAAACTCTATTGCTTTTTTGTGAAACTTTGTTTGATTTTCAATACGTAAACGTTACTCCATTAACCTGTTTAACCTATTGGGGAATAACAGGCGTGATGTTATGGTTTAGTCTTATTTTCTCGTAATTTTATGCAAGTGGAATGGAAAGTTTTTTTAAACTTAGCAACAGAATTAAAATTGTTCTTTATATTGTTCTGTTTTTCAGTTTTTTTTTTATTAAGTCTCAGATAATTTTGAGAGGCAAAAGAGATCGGCCGAATAAAATGAATTAATTTACTTTTATAAAACTGGATTTGTAAAATAACCAACCTATCTACTAGTGAATAATAAATGGCTCCAAGTTAACAGTTATAAAGTAAATTTGAGAAATTTTGCAAAGAGAATGAAACTTAAAATTTAATAATGTTATGAAGCATGTGAGATATACAGCTACATTTGACAACTAAAAAAACAAGTAAGTATAATAAAATATTTAGTTTTGCAACATAAATAAACAGATCGAACAGAATAATGTCTTAAAACAAATAAGAAAAACTAAAAAGCACATTAATTTGTCTACTTCATTATTGAGAATATAATTTGTTTATCTCAGTGATAAACGTGTGGTAACATTAAAACGTATTAATACGAGTTTGTGCGTTTAAAGCGGTTCGTCTCGGCGCGTAACGCGCCACGGAAGCCGTCGCACCGGTCCGTCAGCCTGACTTATCACATGTGCTGATTAATGCCGCACTATTATACACCGCCTACTCACAGACACTACTATCTAACTAATACATTATCACTACACAACTACTCACCAACATACTTCCAAAATAACTCCCCGCACGCCATTGATATCAGGTAAAACAATGAACGCGTGCAACCGTGCCAAGTAATTATTTCAAGACAAAAATAAAAGCAAAACAATTACGTCCATATCGAAAGTGAGTAAACGAAAAGTTTGCCAAGTTACTTTATAAATACGTTACGTGCGGACTTACGGACGCGCTACCGACGCTGAAACTTCACCAGTTGCGATTTCCTCAAGTCGAGCGGAACTTACGGAAACTTGTGTATGAAACTTTTCACTGATCGCGTGGTTACCGTGATTGGCAGATGGTCGTTCATTGATGAATTTGAATTTACTTCGCGGGAAATTAACCTTTCCTGATAACTTCGTCACTGAAAACGTGTAACAGCTTAAGGCGCGAAAAATTACGAGATTCGTCTGAATATATTCTGTGACTGGACGTAACTTGAAAACTTTTTCGAGTTAACAACTTTTCACTTCTGCGGGATATAAACGAAAAGGTGGTAAAGTTCACGAAATGCAATTTCCCGACAAAACTTATGTAAACTTAGCGGAACTTCACTGTTGAGTGTGGTGTGTTGGGTGTAAGTAATAATGTTAGGCTCACCTGCTGCCGGGCGCGCAAGCACGAGCGGCAGCACGAGCAGCGGCAGCAGGGGCAGCCGCATGCTCCCGCTAGCGTGGCATGCCGGCGCGTGCGGCGCTGTGCGCTCCACGCCGGCCGCCGCGGCACTGCGCCCGTGGCGAGCGGCCGCGCCGCCGCGCACACGTGCCGCGCCGCCTCCTGCAACAAGTGACCGCTGCACCTCCCCGGCCACGCATGCGACGCTGTACCCGAGCGAAGAGCCGACGCGGACTGAACGAGACGCGCCCGTCAGCGCGCCATACGCCATACGCGCCCGGTGCAAGTGCAGCGCTAGCTAGTGGTGGAGTGTCGACGACCCGCGCCGCCACGCGCCCAGCGGCCTTCCGCCTGCCGACCAGCCAGCACCACACACACCCGCACCCGTCTCTTATCATCTCATTATACTGCCTCTATCGATATACATATCTACTACTACGTTTCCCGCCAAAAATATTACATGACCCGACTTTGTTCAACTTTTATTCTGTTTATAATTTGAATAAGTAATTTATAGATTACGTAATATCGAGTCACATAGTTGTATTGAAGTTAATCTGATTAAAGCATGCTCAATAATAGCGCTGGATCAATGAACTTCATGTCGGTTAAGCGTTGAAGTCTTTTCAAGGGCGCTTATTACGTTACATTCCTAAAAAAACAAGTTTGTCTTGTAACACATAATACTTCGTCTATTTCAAATTTTATTCTATTACTACTTAATGTACATCATTTATCATAATGCTGTGTTTACATACGGTTGAGATGTGTGCTTATTTTATCGTAATTATAATAATTGTTGGAAGATTAAGATAAAAACATGCGATCGACAGAAAAAGTTTTGGTCTTAAGCGAATTCTTGAAACATTTTGTCGTTTATTTCTGTGGCTAATGATTTTGAAAACGCACAGTAGCCGGGCCAATTATTAGTGGTAATGGTTGAAGAAATCCGCCTTGATTGCGGGTCTGGGCGTGCTGAGTGTACCTGCATGCAGCGCCGGCCGCGGCGACAGGATATAATCTACATCTCGTGATTGACCACGAGACGCGCATTCAACGGTATCATTGGATTTAAGACGACCACTCCGCGCTCAGAGATCGAACAAGAACATCTTACGTACCTACACATACAGGTACTTTAATCCCATTTATCTCCGAGACAATGCTGGCTGTAAAGGTACCGACTAGAGTTAGGTGCCATTAGTTTATGTCAAATTAAATGTTCACAAACACAGTGACTCGTGATCATCATGTCCTTTTCCATGTAAATGTCATTTTTTGTCTAGGAACAAAAACGATATGACTTTGATGTACGAGGCATGCACGCTAGATGCATCTCGTTTGCAGACAAATGTCCTTATTTATGTGTTGTTCGCGAAAAAATGGAGGAAACACAAAAACATATGACTTGTTAGTCGTTTCATAATGAGCAGCTACACTTACAGTGACTCATGTACTCTTGATTGTACGAAAATGTTATAGACTTGTAGTGGCTCATCGTTTTGTATATGTTGATCTTAAAAGTAATAGTTCATTTGACTGTAGTTGGATAGGTAAATAGATGTGGTATTACCTAAATATAATTACTAAAACAAATGACAAACAAAAAGTAAAAACTAAAAAGGAAAAAAAAACTATTAGTGGTCATACGTACTTATAGCTTACACACCCACTGATAGGTTAGAAGTCGGTGCCACAAGTTTTAAACCTAATTATTATATATTCATTAAAACCTTAATAGATACCTAACATTATTGAGCTGTTTACAATTTTATTATGGATTATACCAGCTGTGACTTTTGTCTACTTTATATTTTATTGTGGGTTTGTGGCACCGACTTCTAACCTATCAGTGGGTGTGTAAGCTATAAGTACGTATGACCACTAATAGTTTTTTTTTTCCTTTTTAGTTTTTACTTTTTGTTTGTCATTTGTTTTTGAAGACGGTTTTTTTAAACGCAGTTTTTTAATTTTATTTTATACTTTTTAGTTTAGTACTTTGATATATTATACAAAACCCACATGGATGCAAAGTTTTCATCAATACACATTATGCAAGTTCAAACACCGGGTGGGTACTCTTAACCATTGAAGAGTCCCTTAGCTATCATACTACTTCGTCATTGGACCTTTAATGACCATCACCCATCTAGGTGTAAAGTCCTCATCAATACAAATTAATCAAACCCAAACACAAAGTAGCTACTGTTAACCGTTGAGGAGTTCCCTCAACTATCGTACTACTTCATCATCAGACCCTTATTGACAATTACACCCCACTCAGGTGTAAAGTCCTCATCAATACAAATTAATCAAACCCAAACACAAGTAGCTAGTGTTAACCTTTGAGGAGTTCCCTCAACTATCGTATTACTTCATCATCAGACCCTTATTGTCAATTACACCCCACTCAGGTGTAAAGTCCTCATTAATACAAATTAATCAAACCCAAACACAAGGTAGCTACTGTTAACCGTTAGGGTTCCCTCAACTATCGTACTACTTCATCATCAGACCCTTATTGTCAATTACACCCCACTCAGGTGTAAAGTCCTCATCAATACAAATTAATCAAACCCAAACACAAAGTAGCTACTGTTAACCGTTGAGGAGTTCCGTCAACTATCGTACTACTTCATCATCAGACCCTTATTGACAATTACACCCCACTCAGGTGTAAAGTCCTCATCAATACAAATTAATCAAACCCAAACACAAGGCAGCTACTGTTAACCGTTGAGGAGTTCCCTCAACTATCGTACTACTTCATCATCAGACCCTTATTGACAATTACACCCCACTCAGATGTAAAGTCCTCATCAATACAAATTAATCAAACCCAAACACAAGGTAGCTACTGTTAACCGTTGAGGAGTTCCCTCAACTGGCTCTCGGCTCCATCATCAGATCGGCTCCAGACCTTTATCAGATTGTAGTGGTTTTTAATACTTAATGAAAAAATTAACAAATGCCCTAGTCACCCCTATAATTTTTAAAAGTTCCCCTCGGTTTCCCTGGTCTTCCATCATCAGATCCTGATTTCCTTATCATGGGACCATTCTGGAACTATCTCCTTTCTAACAAAAAAAGAATTTTTAAAATCGGTTTATAAACAACGGAGATATCGGCGAACAAACATAAAAAAAAAAAAAAAAAAAGCATATATACGGTCGAATTGAGAACCTCCTCCTTTTTTTGAAGTCGGTTAAAAATACACTGATATCGATGATGCGCACGCTGCTCATGAGGTAGAACCCCTCTGTGGTTCGAAACTAGTAGAGCTTTTCTCAGTATACTCACGTGAGTAACCCACGATTTTTAGTTAATTTAGTAGTAATGTTATCCAAAAACAGATACAAAGCGTACACAAAATAAAGTCTAGAATGACGCACTAGAATTAATAACATAAACATGTTGATGAAATAAAATTAATATCAATTTACTGTTAACAAGGAAGACACGTTCTGCGAAAAAAATATTGTTATAAGGCTTTAATATTACAATAACTAGCGACACTTTATAACAAGGGGGAAAACCAGATCATTACATGTAGCGAATTATATATTTACTCATACTGGAAAATACTATTGCATCATGAACATTTGTTTCTGTGCAAAAAAGTCAACCCCGGATTTGTGTGTCACGCAGGAGTTGGCCTGCTAGGTATAACATATACACCGTTTTGATGTGACAATGTTACAAGCATTACTTTCGCATTTTATTGACTGTACACACACATATATGACTGTTAACACCAGGAACCTAAGGCTTACATTTCACTGCGACACCATGGCGGCGCTACCAGTTGCATCCAGCTGCTACCAACAAAATGTATGCAGCTCTATAGAGAGTTACTCACATGGTGTCCGCTTGGTTGCGCAACTAGATTACACATTATGTTGGTTGCGGCGACTGATGGCTGCTATGGTATCCCGGTGAAATATAGCCTTAAGACCAGAAAATAGGTTTATGCAAGTTCTTTATGATCGTTTAAATAATATCTGAGTCTTCATTAATAGTCTACAAAATTAAGATAAAAGTTTCAACTGAATATCACTGAATATGTCGGCCTTCAGCTACACAACTATTAACTCTGTCTATTTTTCAATTGAAACCGTTACGGAGTCTTATGTGTCATTAACTATGACTGCACGGTTGGTGCGGTGGCTGGGCGACCGGCTGCCGTGCAACGTGTCGCGGGTTCGATTCCCGCACGGGACAACACTTTGTGTGATCCACAAATTGTTGTTTCGGGTCTGGGTGTCAATGTGTATGTGAAATTGTATGTTTGTAAACGCACCCACGACACAGGAGAAAATCCTAGTGTGGGGCAACGTTTAAAAAAAAAAATTCCATGAGCTGTAAAGTCAAATTCAAAGTCAAAACATTTATGTTGATAACACCATTACTTGCACTTCTGAAAGTTAACGATACAGTGTACCTATAGTATGTCGGTTTAAAACCTAATATCATCATCGTGATTCATCTTATATTCCCCGAAGTATTTTTTTTTTAATTTCTCAAATTCAATTTATAAAACTTTACATTTATAGATATTATGAAATTTATTATTATATATAAATTAAAATATAAATAATTTAAAACTAAAATATTTACACATTAAAAAAAATATATCATAAGGCATCAATGAAAAAATTTTCCTCATCACTACCGTGAGGTAGGGTGCCCAAAAGATCGGCAGCATTGCCACATTGAATATCCTTACAATATCTTTGTAAAGAAGATGTGCACTTGGGCCCCACGGCCTTAGGGCCGTGTTAGTTTCAACCCCAAACGGTTCGAAAGTATAATTGCCAATCAGGCTATTATACTTTCGCCGATGAGGTAAATTAATGCATAATGCACTTATTTATTAAAATACTAGTTGACCTGGCAAACTTCGTACAGCCTACAAATATTTTTCTCACCTTTTAATCCTTCCCTAGACGTCTACGAAAATTTCAAGACCAAAATTAGAAAAAATTCAGATCCCCTATTCAATCTCCTTTTCGGAATGAAAATACCAGCGCAAAACTTTGCCCTATTTGAGGACCTAATCTACGGCCTTGTGTTTTGTACTTACATTACAACCTCTCGATCATTCTAAATTATAAGTAAGTGTACTTTGATAAATATTAATTATTTCGCTACTTTGGTTACCAATCAAATCGATAGCAATTTGTCCTTAAATAATATCGTAGTCATATTTTAGGTTAAGGGTGTATTCGCGATGCGGTTTTTTATACAAATATACAAGTTTAAATTCATCAT